TTTTTTTTTTTTGGGGGGGGGGTGGTTATAATGTTGTTATCTTATTATTAGTCACTAACCAGTGATAATTCACTTTTCCAATTGATCTATGCTGCTCATAAAAGGCCAGATCAACTGGAAGGCCCGGAAGCAAGTGGTTAGTGAGTTCTGAAAGCCAGTGTAGACAGAAAACTGTGTGACAGGCAGGGGACCAGGCATTGATGACCTTTGGTGAGTTGAATTTCTCTGTGTTGAACAGTCCCCATGTCACAGGAGCGTCCACGAGGCAGGTTCTCAAAGGTGCAGGTGGTGGTAACTGCTTGTATCAGAATCGTGTTGTGTGTGCTTAATATTTTACATGGTCCTGCTAGTTCATATTTGCTCTAAGTAAGTATCTGACAGTGTCAGGTTCAATGGATTCTGTAGCTAAAATGTGCTCAAGCACAGTGTTTCCCTTGGAAAAAGAAGGCTGGCAATCCATGCGCATTTTTAGTGCAGTCTTCACGCAAACCACACTTATCTGAGTAAAATGAGAATCTGTACGTGGGGGTCAGTAGGCCCTTCTGCCGTTCCGACTTGGACCTGGAGAGTGTCAATCACAGATGAGCGAGGGTGGGGCACACACAGCCGCTTGGCTAACTTTCAGGTGGAATCACCCCTGAGGTTGCAAATGGGAAGAATAAAGGCGAAGAGGGATCACTGTGTGGACTAAAAGGAGTGGCTGTAAAATAACACTTTTTTTCTTTGGGTAAGAGGAAGCCATTAAAAAGGACAGATCTACTCACGAATGAGAGTTCTGGGTTCCTCCTTTCAGACTGTCAGCTAGTGAGGTTTTGCAGGTTTTTGACTAGCTTTGGGGGGCAGGTTGGGGATACAGAATAGAGAGGAAAGAGGGAGCAGGAAATGGGGGGAAGCCACCATCCAGGGCTCCGGAGGGATTTGCAGGGCACCGAAGGAAAGTGTGTTGGGGGAACTTCAGGGAGGGTGAGAAAGGCAGACGGGGTGGAAGGGTGGATCTTAAGAAATACTCACTGACTGTGTCTCTTTATGATGCTCCAAGAACATCATTAAGGACCTTGAGCAGCCCTGAGATTTTGGTGGCCGGGTTGATTCTTTGACTGCTGTGCCTCCATATGGACTGGGTCACGGGGGTCATGGCTTCATCAAGGCCTTGGGGGAAGGAGTGGATGCTGGGGGACTGCTCTCATAAGATGGTAGGTTGGCCAAAGATTGGGTGAAAGGTCATGACAAACCATACAATTTAGACATTAGAATTTGTCTTCTGTTTTTAGGTGTTAGGTAAAACGAAGCCAGAAGAAATAAATAGCCCTAGACTGAGGATCAAGAGACCTACGTACCTGCCCCTGCTTCACTAGCTAGTCCCTTCCTTCATTCAGTAGTTTATTGACTAAGCTGTTCTATGTCCCAGGCCAGAGCTAGGAGCTGGGCATTTAAAGATAAGTTGTTCATCTTTCTGGGTAATTTTGAGCTGTGTGTTGAAGGGAGGATAGGAGCTTATAGACAGACAATGGAAGAAGGGGAATTTTACGCAGAGGGAACAGCATGTGCAAAGATATGGAGGCTTAAATTGGCAATGAGTCTTCCAAAAGCAGAGAGCAGTTTAGTGGGCTGCAAATCTAGGATCCATGCGGCTGGGGAAAAATGTGACCTTTTTTCTATTGCCATTAAGGATGTTTCCCCTTTTCATAATTATAAATAATGCTGAGGTGCATATCTTGGTATATAACATGTCCAGGTTTTGCCTTAGGGTAGATTCCTAGGAATGACACTCACAGTGACTTTTAATAGGACAGTGATCTGGGGGACTGGGCCCTGTAACTCTGGCCAAGTCACGGCTCCTCTGGGTTTCTCTTTCCCCATCTGTCAGAACATGGACCCCAGAAACAAAAACAGCCTTTCTAGCTGTCACATCCAGACATCTGATGGCATCCACAAAGTATGCTTGGGTCCAGGACTCTAGAGAGATCTGGATTCCTACTGATGCAGAAAATTACTTGTTACTTTATTTCAAGCGAGTCGCATTCTTCCTGTGTGCCTCAATTACTCTATTGGCAGAAACCAGAAGAGACACAGGTGGTCACAAAGTGACGTGCATGAAGGTTTAAAAATGAGATAATTACATGGCCCGGGCATGGAGCTTCCTTCCATGCCACCCCTTGTGTGCAGATGCCTCCTTTTCATGCTCTGAGCTCGCATCTTCCCCTCTATCCCGTTTCCACTGTCTGCTGCAGACCTCTCCCACCTTGCTGGTCACTGTAACCTCATTCTTGGTTCCCAGCCCACCCCCCGGGAAAAGTGGAGTCAGCTTCCAAAGCTCATGTCCTTTGCTTGGGTCATACACTGTCCCCCACATGGATGACGTGGGACCTCTTCCCTCCTCCTCTGTCTTGCTAATTGTTCTTCCTCCATGATGTCACCGCTCCAGGAAGCCTCCTGCTGTCCCAGCCTGGATGGGAGCCGCCTTTTGTATCCACTTGGCTCCGTAGCGACCCTTTCTCATACCCAATGGTACTGCCTAGTACCTGGGGGGCTTCCTGCTGTCTCCTCCCTGTGGCTTCTGGGGGCATTGAGGTGGGGACTGCAGCCTAGCCTCGTGGTTAAGGTCGTGTGCTCTGTGGCCAGATGGCAGGGTCTGTATCCTATGTGACTGTGGACGCCTGTCTCAGTGTCCTGCTCTGTGAAATGGGAATCCCAGCTGTGATATCACACCTCGAGAGCTCAGCTTCCCCCTCTACAAAATGGGATGATTCTGTTTCTCTTTCATGGAGCTGAACTGAGGTAATCTTAGGCTATGTGTACAGGAGCTGACACAGAGTAGGTGCTTAATAAGTGCATTTAAAAAAAATTATGTGGACTTGCACTCCATCAGTCCCGCAGACCTGGGGCATGAAAGCCAGAGTGGAAAAGGCACGTTGGGGGACAGGTGAGTTCACCACCTCACTTACAGATGAGGAAACTGAGGTCCAGAGAGGGCTGGGGCTCCTATAAGGGCACACAGTGGGTAGGAGTTAGTAGGTCTTGGAGAAGAGCCCAGGTCTCCCTGGCCCCAGTCCACGGGTCTTTCAGACCCTCCACGCTGGGCCCTTGAAAATTTGCGTCTGTGGGGATTGTCAGAAGCTGACGGGAGTCTGTTTCTGACAACACCTTACACAAATTGGCCTTGGTTTTCAGATGGTTAGACAAATAATTTTTTAAAATGCTTCAGTTGTCCTGAGGCCCAGAGTCCCATGTTTGCTTCCAGTTTAGCCCGAGCACGGCATGAGGGTCACTTGCTTCCAGACACCGGAGTGTGGCTTTCACCCCAGCTGGGTCCAGTGCAACTCTGTGTGGCTCAGTCCTTTGGGCCTTGGGCCTGTCCCACTTGGCCAAGTATGGTGGTGACGGGAAGTGTGGAGAAGCCACATTCCTTGGCCTCCTCCTGGCGGATGAGGTTAAGAGGGCTTCCAGCCGACAGGTCTGAGTCCCCGGGTCACCTCGCCACAGCTGTGTGACCTTGGCAAAGTCTCTTTAGTCACCAGGTCTCAGTTTGCTCATCTGTCAAATGGAGGGGATGCTGGACTCCCTCAAAGCAGTGTTGCTGCAGGGACAGGATGAGACAGAGCAGGTACATGGTAATCAGTGTCATCGTATTCATTTCACTTAGTGACAGCCCTGAAAATTGGGATCCCAGGGACCCCAAGATACCCTCGGCATCTTTGACCTGAAGGAGGGAACATCTATATTTCTGTAGGCCCGGTAGCTGTGCACACTCGGGCAGTCTCTTGTCATCGTGAAAGGCACAGCCCCATGGCTCCCTGGTGTGCAGAAGCACTGACTGGCGTGGGTGCAGCATCCTACACTTCACAACGCCCTTGATTCTACACAATGTGTACCCCTTGCGTACCCTAGAACTTTACAATCCACACGTCACGAAGCATCTGCCGGGGTTTAGAGAGGCTGACCCTCAACTTGAGGGTCAGATGAGGTGGAGACGGAGGGAGTCACTCTGGGGTCCACGGCCCTGCCTCTGGGTGACCCCAGGGGGAGTGGTCCCGGGGACGGTGGTGGTCGGAATTGACTGCAGCGGCCCCTCCCAGTCCCCTCCCAGTCCCCTGGGCTCTGCTCCTGCTCTCGCCCTGCGTCCTGCAGAAGATGGAGTCCTCCTGAATGAGGCTTGGCAACGCTGCCACTGTTCAATGAGCTAATGGCGAAATTGGAAACTCAAGGGCTGCTAGCAGAGGGAGAAAAAAAGACAGGCTTTGATTCATGGGCAGGAGCATCGGTGAATGGGGAAGACTCATCCTGCGGTAGCTGTAATCCGAGGAAACGCCTGAGTGGCACGTCCTTGGTCCTTTGTCCTTTGAGCAGGTCCCTCCCAGAGAGAGGAAGGTCGCGCCAGGGGAGACCTCGGCTGGCTTCGGGAGCGCCCAGGGGAAGCAGAGGTGAGGGAGCCCTCCGAGTGGGGCAAGCAGGTCTGGGCTCCCATCCCAGCCTGCCGTGGAGCCGCCCTGGGGAGCTCCTCTGTGAGTGGGGGTGCTAGTACTTGTCATCACGGGGCTCCCCTGAGCAGGGTGTGTAAACAGCTGGCAGGAGCCGGGCACAGGAGAGCGGCTCACAAAATAAAAACACCTGGAAGCTTTTTTCCCCCCTAAATTAAGGCAGAGTGGAGAGAATTTCCTGTTAGGAGATGGGGATAAACTCTCAGCTGCCTCCATTGGTCCTGAATGAATGAGTCAATTTCTAAGCATCAGATCTGGTTTCTGGTGGAGGGCAAGTAGCTGAAGTTATAAAAATGTTTCTAAAGGTGACAATTCAAGCGTCTGTCGGTTATCTCTTACAGGGGGCTGTTCTATACAGTCTCTCTCATCTGCTCTTCATATAGACTCAGTGAGCTGGGTGCTATGATCCCAGTGCCGGCGAGGACGGAGGGATCAGAGAGGGGTAGTGATTTGTTCCACGACACACAGCTAGTAGATGGCAGAACTGGGCCTCTGGTTTGGATCTGCTGCTTCCAAGTCCCCAGCTCCATCTTAATTTGGGAGGAAACAAAAACCTCTGAGAACAGAGGAGGAGAAACATGATAGTGTCAGAAGGAGATAATTATTGTACCGTGGTAGGTTACAGAAGCTTCTTCCAGCCTTCAGGCTGGTGAATTTCTTTGGAAACATGTTCTGTGATAGGAAAGCAACTAGGCTGCCACAAGGAAGACTTCAACTCACCAATTTTTTGGTTCACATATCAGTTTCCCAAATTAATAGAGCCTTCCTCTGAGTACTGGGAAAAGGGTAGGAAAGCTCCCAGCCTGAAATGGGGCTACAATAGTAATTAATGAAGCGGGGTTAGGTGAGCAGCCTCAGCTTGCAGGGCAAACAGGAAAAGTTGATATTTTATTTTTTCTAATAACTGCTCCCACTGTGATCTATTGAGTTTCATCTTTCTTGCTGGGTAGCTGAAAAACACCGCGGGCCGATTCCATAATTTCCCAATCACTTTAAGTTATTAAAAAGAACAATTTCATTTTGGTTATTAAGACTCAATCCTGTTCATTTTAAAATGTCAATCTTGCGTGAAGCTTGGAGTGCCTCTCTCGGGTTGCGTATGTACATGTATGCGTTCATGCTCACACATGTGTGTGTCTGCGTGCGTGTGCACATGCATGCATGCTTGTGTGCATCCGCTTGGGTCCAGGAGAAAGGTGCTTCCTGGAGTGACTGCATCTGGAGAGTGGGCTGTGCCGCCCCGTGGCTCAGCCCTGCTGCTCCCTCTGCAGACAGCTCTGTGTGTGTCAGAGAAAAAAAGACTGCTATGCCCCTGCCCCGTGGCTTTGCCTGTGTGTCCGTTCAGTACACAGTATCTGTGAGGCTGGTGCCAAGGTCAGGCTCTTTAGGGAGCAGGTGTTGGTCTGATGAAGCTCAAGTGCCCCCTTCTCCCCTCAGTTCTCACGGGCAGCTGGGGATCCACCTCATAGCTCTGCCTGCCAGGGCCCCTGATCTTGGGAGTGGGTCAGGATGTTGACATCAGTCCTTCCTGCCTTCTTTGATGTCCTCTTTAGCTATGGAAACCCATGGGCCCTTGCCACACCAAACCCCAGGCACCCTCCTCTCTGTCCTGGCATCTCCTCTGTCCCTTTCTTCATGTGCCCTGGGATCGCCAAGCCTGGTGGCATGGGATGTGTGGCAGGTTCATGGGAAGTTGGCTCACTGACTTGGGGAGGGGAAGGTGAGGTGGCTTTGGGCTCTCCTGGTCATGTAGACAGGCAGCCAGACAGCCGGATGCGCACTCTGCTCCTCCCCAGACTTCCCTCTGCACCGCTCACTGGTGAGTGCCGTCTCCTGCCCCTGAGGCTGTGGGCACTCCTAGGACCCTGAGGATCAGACCTTCCTTGAGATGGCCCTGGACAGTTTAGCCACTTTGTTCTCAGCAGTGAACCTCTGCTGCCCCTTGGGAGGGAGGGCAGGTGGGGAAAGCGCAGACCTCACACACCTGGTTACATGCGGTCCTGCTCCCTGAGCACCCAGGTTGCGCCAGGCACTGGCAGGGGCTTTATCAACACTGTCTGGTGACGCTTCTTGAGACCCGCGCAGCAGGTTTTACTCTCCCAGTTTTATAGGCCCAGACACCGGGTGTCTTGTCCTAGGAGCATGGGCAGCACGTGGCAGGACCCAGATCTGAACCCGGGCCTGCCCGTCTTCAAAGTCCAGGAAAGATGGGTGTGAGCCATTTGGGGCCACCCAGAATCGAATCCTCCTTCTCTGGACACAGCACCCTAGTTTCTTTTGAGGCAGTTACCTCTTCCCCATCGGGTCCAGCCTTGGGGGCTCTGTCAGCTAAGGTGGCCTGCCCTCCCTTAGACATGGCCCAAACTCAACTTCCTGGACCCTCTGTCCTAGATCTTGAGTCCAACACAGAGGGACAAACAAACAAGCAACAGGAACGAGAACAGTGGGAGCGCATTCCCTCTAGCACTGGTAGCCCAGGCCTCCAAACCGTGTGGCCTCTGCAGTCCCTGTCCCTGATCAGACCCTCGTTCCCCAGCTGGCCCATCACTTTAGCAAACTAGCCCATGTCCTTCCATGAACCCCCCGTCCCATGTTATCTGCTCCAGTCAGCCACAGTTGATGTCCGTTGTTTCGATCCAAAAATCCTGTCCGGTATCCTGAGTACGGTGTTGGGGTCTTGCTCCTCACCTGATGGGAACCCCACTATTCTGTGTCTCGGTGAGTCGTGACACGTAGAGACTCAGGACAGGGCCTGGTGCAGGCTGGCACTTGACAAATGACCACAGCCATTACTAGGACCATTCTCTCCAGCTCGGGGTCACGTCAGGGTCCAGGTGGGATGTGTGGCTACGCCTGGCGCCCCCAGGCCTCAGGGCTGGTGGCAATCCTCAGGCAGCCCCAGCTGACAGGTCTTGGTTCAGTTCCTACCAGGCAGATGCTTGTGTTGCATCAGATGGCCGCTCACCACAGCTGGCACTAACTGGCCACGTCACAGCGTGGCAGCGGGCTCAGCTGGATGGCGGGTGGGCGGTTTTGGGGAGGCCGGCCTTGCTGCAGCGTGCGCTGTGGTCCCAGAGCCCCAGGCGGGGGCTGACCGTCTCTTCCCGTAGTTCTGCAGCCTTTCAGTGGCAGGCAGGGGGGCCTCAGATGGCAGGGGTCACCATTCTCCTTGTCACCACTGTCATCTCCTTGTTATTAAGAGTGATAATCATTACTGCTCTGAGCACCTACTATGTGCCAGGCCCTTTATGATAGTAAGGCAACCCTAACCATGAAAGAAACAGCAAAATACATCATCACAGATACTCTTCCCAGAACTCTTATGGGGAAGCTTAGGCCCAGATTACAGATGAGTAAACTGAGACTGAGGGATGATGCTGGGGAAACGTGATAGGGGCTTGGGTTCCACTCGCTGTGTGTACTTCAGCGGGGCTGTCGCTGGTTTCTCCTGATTCACTTCAAGGCACACACAGAAGTGTTGGAGTCTTCCGGAGATAGCCATTTGATTTACACAAAACACATACACTCTTCTTATTCTGCTCCTTGTAAAAATAATCCTGGCTCTGTGACACCAATGGGACTTCCCCTCTTTCCCGGGCCACACCCGGATCCTTGGGGAAAAAGTGTTATCCTCACAAACGGCCTCCTTACATGGCTGACCCCCACATTTTGCCCCTAGTCAGAGCCCCTCCTGCACTCCAGACTCAGGCCTACACGCCCCACCAGCCTTCTCACTCCACTTGGGCGTCGGGCAGACACTTCCAACTCCGTACATTTAAACCCTTGGTCTCTTCCACCAACCCTGCTTCTCCTGCAGCTTCCTCCACCCTGATGACCAGCGACTCCACCCTTCCAATGCTGATCCCCAAAGCCCCAGAGTCATCATTGGCTCCTCTTTCCATCTCACACCCCCATCTAATCCATCAGCAAATCCTATATTCAGAACCCATCACTTCTCCCTTCTTTTACGGTTTCAACCACCATCCTCTCCTGCTTGGATGATCCTATTAGCTTCTCCACCCAACGCAATGGCTGGGATGATCCTTTTAAGACATAAGTCAGACCACGTCACCTCTCTGCCTGAGCCAGGGTGGTGACTCCCTGCCACTCCAGTAAAAGTCAAAGGTCTAAGGAGGTCTGCAGGGTTCTCCTGACTTGGTCTCATCTCTCACAGTTCTCTGCCCTCTCTGCTCAGCCACACTAGTCACCTTGCTGTTCCCCGGCACACCAGGCACACTCCTGCCTCAGGGCCTTTGCACTGGCTGCTCCCTCTTGCCCCAGATGTACACACAGCTCACTCCCTCACCTCCTGTGAGTCTCTGCTCCTTCCTCCCCCACCCACTGAGATGGTATCACCCACACCCCAAACCCCAAGCTCCCAGTCCCCCTAACCCCATCCTACATTTTCCTTGTTTCATAGCAAGTATCATCGTCTGACATCTTCTACAATTTACTTAAAGAGAATTAGAATTGCCACTTACTGTCTGACTCCTGATGCCAGCATGTCAGCTCCTCAGGGATGAAGTTCTTTTCCTGTTTTGCTCACTCATGTGCCATAAGCTTCCGGAACACCGCCTGGCACACGCAGACACTCTGTGAATGAATCCCTACTAGCTTTCCTCTGATCCTCAATTTTCTCCCTGAAACGGGACAGGAGAGCTTCAGTTCATCCCACTCTACAAGATATTGTTAAAATCTCCCAGTGATCCATGGCTGACCTACCCCTGCTCCCACGTCCAGGCTCATCTCCTTCTACTCTTGTTCTCACCCTTGGGCTCCACCAATATCAAAGCCTTTGGAGGCTCCTGCTCTATCATACCTCAGGGCCTTTGCATATGCTGTGCTTCTTTCTGCTTGGTGGGCTCCTGGGTGTCATTCAATGTCCTGATTACGTGTTGCCTCTTCCCTGAGGTCTTCCAAGATATTCTCAGCTGCCTCAGTCCTCAGAGACTCCTTCCTTCCTTCCTTCCTTCCTTCCTTCCTTCCTTCCTTCCTTCCTTCCTTCCTTCCTTCCTTCCT